AAACAACACACACACACACACACACACACACACAGTCTCTCTGCGCCATCACACAAACACACACACACTCAAATGCATCTGAGCCCCTCAGACACTCCCGCTCACACCTGCCCTGCCTCTGCCTGGACAAGGGCCCTCGCTGAGCAGCGCACCAGTGCCTGGTGGTGACCCCTCCTGCTCCCTGCCCCAGCGCCCCCACTTTGGAGCTCGGGGCCTGCGGGGGTGACTCTAGAGCTGACGAGCACCGAGGTGTCGGGCTCCCCACCAACCCGCCCCTATAGCAAAGCTCCCGTGTCACTCACCGAGCTGTGGCGTCCAGGTGCCAGCTGCTCCGGATCCGCAGAAACTCAGAGAACGGGGAAGGGGGGGGGGCATATGGGAACAGTGCCCATGACGCTGCTCTCGTGGGCCCATTGTTGGAGGGGTGGCGGGGTAAGAATGCAGGAGCCTCTGTACCCTGCAGGGGGTGGGAGCCTATGGCCGAGGGTCCTCTCTTGCCTGGACAAAGAGAGCAGGCCCCCGGAGCAGAAAATTCCCCTCCCACTTTCTTATCGCTTTATCCCCAACGCTTTATCAGCACGCCCGCCCTGAGGCTCCAGGTGATAAAATGTGGGTTGGCCTGGCTCTTAATAAAGAAGCAAGGTGCTGTAACCCCCCCGCATCCCCATGCCAGCAGGTAAAGGAGAGGGACAGCTGCCGAGGGGGGGGTCCCTTTAGGAGTCCCACCTGGGCTGATGGGTGGGGTTCCGGAGGTGGTTGGTGACAGGGCAGTGGCTCCAGGCCCCAAGCGACTGGCCAGCTGGGAGGCCGCTCTTACAGGTGGGACTCGGCCGCTGTGTCTCATTCGGCACTGGGCTGAGGGGTTGGCCCTGTCCGTTGACCCTGCGCCAGGCCCCGTGGCCCTAGAGCAACCCCGTGCTGGTGCGTTCCAGCTGCCGGTTCATAAGTGGAACGGACCAGGCACAAAGCTGTGTCCTCCACGATGGGGGGGGGAGTGGGGAGTCTAGGGCAGGCACCTCCCGCCTTGGGGCAAAGGAGGCAGCCTCTAGCCCCAGGTGAAGCACTCCTCCAGGGGGCCTTTTGACAGGGGAGGGATTCTGGGAAGGTTGCCACGGAGCCCTTGTTTAGAAGGAAGGGGTTGGAAGCTGGATACCAAGGTTGGCACGGCAGCCCTCGCCCAGGGGAGATGGGAAGTGACAGAATTGGGCAAGGCAGAGCCAAAGGACTGGTTGCAAAGACCCTTGGTTCAGGAGTGACCGACCCAGACGGATGAGGGATCAAGCTCCGGATACTTCCACCTGGGGGAGATCAGATGTTCCCAGCCAGGCCATGCTATAAGCCATTGATCACACCAACCATGCGGGAATGCAGGAGTAATTTATTTATTTCAGGAAGACTAGTTCTAGAATAAAGGCTACATTGTAATATCGTCTTGTTCCTTTCTTTCTTTGTTCGGTTTGTTTTAAAAAGCCAGTAATGCATGGGAGCTAGTTACTGATCTCATGCTGGCGTCAGAGGGGGGTCGAGGCAGGACTGGTATTTACAATGCAAGATACGAGAGTTGAGTTTCAAAGCACCATACAATATTCAAGACGCCAGTCTCTTAGCTGGGAGGACGTTAGCTTCAATATCATATGACCGGGCGAGATACACGTGTAAACGAACCTCTTGCTCCTCGTTATGATTATTACTGGGCCTCGTTTCAAGGTGATGTGGATGGGTCAGCCAGGGGGAGGAACGAGCCGCCGGCGAACCCCGATGCGGAGAGACTCCTCCTACTCGCCAGCGGACAAGCTGCCCCTAGCGGTGAGGAGGCCCCCAGCGCCCCCTAGGGGACGGGTTTGGGCGAGCAGAACATCCCTTCCCCGGTGCGGAGGCGGGAGGGGACCGCCTGGCTAAGCCATCCAAGGAGAAAGCTCGGCAGGGAACGCGGCTAGTGCCTGGCGGGATTCCAGCTGCTTCTTGCGGAGTCCTTGGGCCGAAGGGAGCCCCCAGATCCTGCCCTGCCTGATGGAGCGAGGGGCTGGGCGGGGGTTCAGACAGAGCCCTCCCCTCTTCCTCCTCCAGCTGCACACCCAACACCCACACCCAGCTGCCCTCTCTGCGATCAGACCCACCCCCTTACTAGGCATTTTTGTGGCTGTCTCTGAGTATGCAGGGCTGGAGGGGGCCAGATCCCCCCCGCTGGCATGAAGCGACGCAGCCCCTATTGACGTCAGTGGGGATTTACTCCCGCTAGGGGAGCGGAGCCAGGGGCGGGCTGCCCCGCACAGATTTGCAGCCCAACTCTGCAGGCTCAAGGTGGCCAAGTCCTGCCCCCACTGGAGCACGGGGTAAAGTCTGGTCAGAACTTCTCCCCTTCGGGTGCTGCTTTGAACTAGGACTCTCCTGGGGTTTGCCAGGCTGCCCCCACCCCCCGTGCTGCTTCCTTCACCGGCTCCATCTGTGTGGCCGTGGTGATGTCCAGTGGCGCCCGTCACCGTGGCATCAAGCCACCGGCAGGCGACCCCAACAAGGCAGCTGGGGGAGGGGTGGAGGGAGAGGCCACTGGGCCCAGGTCCACACCTGCCTTGTATGCAAGACTTCCAAGAGTCCAGCATGCGGCGCGTACAGCCGGCCTGGCCTCGTTCCCCGGGGCCCAGCAGCGCAAACCCAGGGGGGCCCCCGTCAGCGCTCCCCGCCATTGTGCTAGGTCAGGGCTCCTGAGGAGCCCCACACATTGTGCTTCGGCCGGCAGCTTCCGGGCTGTGAAGGGTTCAAGAGCCAAGGGGGCTGGTGAGTGGCAGGGCTGAGCTCAAGGGGCTCCTGCCGCAGAGAAGGGCCCAGGCTGCAGAGATTGGATCTGCAGCCAGAGTGGGGCAGAGTTCTGGGTCAGCCTATTACAACCACAGGGGCTGGGTGCAGGGTTTGGGTCCAGCTGGGATGGGCCTGGGGTCACCCCACTTGGCACGGCTACCCCTGAGCATCTGCAGCCGTCGGACCTGGGGCCCAACGGGCAATTCCCTAGGGAGCGTAGGGATAAAATACCCCCGCCTTGGCCGCCCCGCTGTAGGACTGGCATTGCCTGCTGCAGTGTTTGGGGCTGTCCCTGGAGCAGACCAGAGCGCTATTTAAACGGAGGAGGGGTCACTACAAAGGAGGCCAGTGGTGGGGGGCGCACGGCTGCTGTGCATTGGCAGGGAGGGAGGGTGGTACTGGGAGAGCAGGGAAGAAGGTCTTTCTAAGCTGGGTGGTACCCACTGGAGCAGACCTTGTGCCATCCGTGGCTGCTGGCTCGCTCACTCTGGTATGAGGGTTTAAGTGCAAAGGTTTCCCCTCCCCCCAGCTCCTGACTCAGACGTCACAGAGCTGGACCGTGGCCCTCTGCAGAGTCTGTGGCTGCTGGGGGAGGAAGGCTAGGAAGCAGCTCGGGATTCAGACATTTCTAGCTGGAGAGATCCAGCCAGATTTGCAAAGCAGGCCCCTAGTCCATGTGCAAAAACAGGAGACTGTGCGTGCAAAAGGGGAAGTGTGGAAACTGCATGTGCGCAGAACACGCATTAGTGCAAGCACCAATAGGCAATCAAGCCTGCGGGTGCCCAGTTTTTGCGTGCATATGCTTGTCTCCACCCATTGTGTGTGCACCATAGCCTGTTTTGCACCACCACCACCAGCTGTTGTGAACCAAGGGCTGCCTGCTTGCACCTGGAAATACACTGTTTGCACAAACAGTGGTGCTAGGGGCAGATGTTTGCACAGACAATGGTGCTGGGACAGATGTTCCAAAGGCAGCCCCCAGTCACACCTTCCACCTCAGGCTGAGATTCTTACCAAACCTAGCACTGCCATGCATGCCCCGGCCCATCCTAGCCCAGTCCAGCCTGGCATAGCCCGGCCTGGCCCAGCCCGGCCCATCAGTTTGCCCCTCATCCCTCAACGCCCTGAAAATCCCACCGGCTCCACATTGCGTCCAAAACACCATCAAGGTGCTGGCGCTCACCCCTCCTCCTTCACCTCTAGCCCTTTCGCCCCCACTGCTGGCTAGATATGTGCTATACTTTGTGTCACTTCCGCACTACCGACCTCTCACGCTGCGCTGGTGCCACTTGGCATTTTGGCAACAACAAAAGAAAAAGGCAAATGCTGGGGGTGAGAAAGGGATCACTTCTCGCTGGACACCACCTCACAGCTGCCTCGGAGTAAATAACTCCCTTCCAGCTGGGTTCTGTCTCTTCTTGCTGCTTGACCATTCCTGGCCAGCTCCTCTAGGCTAGTGTCTCGTTCTCTTTAACTTGGCCATGGCCAGCTAAAATCCTCCTTGTGCCGATCACATGCATTTTGTTTTTCAGTAGCTCCCACTGTTCAAATAGCCAGGGCCTTCGACAACGTAGAGACCCCTCCTTTGAATGCCACTGCCCGATGGGGTATCGTACCCGCCCCAGGTGTCCTTGTCGGCTTCCAGGTCCTTGTGATTAACCAGCGTCTCTTGGAACTTGGGCAAACAACCTGAGAGCGGCCCCACCCCCAGCAGGGCCGCGATGACCTTGGGATTGTGTTCCAGCCTGGACGGACGAAGCGCGTTGCCAGTCCTTCAAAGTCTCTGGGTAAGCGACGTACATCAGATCACCCCTTTGGGAATTGTGTGTGTTCCTTTGACTGGTAAGGAAGGGTCTTGCGAGGGCTTGAGAGCAGCCTCTGCCCCCTCGCTTGTAGATTTGGGGTCTCGGCAGCGTTAGGGAACCAAATGAGGACTGACCCCCGTGCATTAAAAACCACCCCCCACTATGCCCCAGCTAAAAGTTGTCAGTGTTAGCAGCATTCTCTGTTCAGTTCGTGCCGGAATAGGTGAGTGTATCTATGAAGGGCTGAGTGTCCATGCCAAGGCTCAGACAGGTCTCCCCGCGGGCTGCCCCCACAGACGGAGTCAAAAGCCAGAGAGTGGGGAAGAGAAGAGAGAAAACGTTGATCAAGAGTCTTCTTCCTGTGGCGTTTCCTCAACTTCCCCCACGCGTCCCTCATCTCGCTGCAAACGAACGAAACCGAAATGCACGTGTGCGATCCAGCCCCCAGTATTGCATATCCCCCTTCCAGAGAGCGAGACCGTGGCCCTCGTCGCCAGGGGAGGGGAACGTACCGAGCGTGGAATCGGAAAGGGAAACGGTCCCGGGTGAGCGTGCATCGCTGGCTCCCCAGAGCAGTCACAGTGATAAGATGCAGCGAGAGGGAGGAGTGGGGGGAGACGGGAGGGCAACGCCGATGTTTAACTTGTAGGGCGGAGAAGAGACGAGGGACAGTCCGGTGCTTTACATAAGGCTGCATTTCCCCTTGATTTTGTCTGTCCTCTTCTGCTTGTTGGACCGCTTGCCGTCGATGTTGAGGCTCATGTTCCTCCTCTTCTCCAGGTTGAGCAGCTCCTGGAAGAGCTCCTTGACATTGTAGTTCATCTTAGCCGAGGTCTCCATGAAGGCGCACTTCCACTCCTTGGCCACGGCCTCCCCTTCCTTGGTCTCCACCTCCCGCTGGGTCTCGTCACACTTGTTGCCCACCAGCATGATGGGGATGTTGTCCACACTGCCCTTGATCTGCAGGATCTGCTGGTAGATGGGCTTCAGCTCCTCCAGGGACTGCTTGCTGGTGACGGAGAAGACTAGGATGAAGGCGTGGCCTTTGGAGATGGAGAGGCGCTGCATGGCCGGGAACTGGTGGCTACCCGTGGTGTCGGTGATCTGCAGGGTGCAGACGCTCTTGTCGCAGCTGATGACCTGCCGGTAGGTGTCCTCGATGGTGGGGATGTACGTGTCCCGGAACGTCCCCTTCACAAAGCGCAGGACCAGGGAGCTCTTGCCCACACCGCCGGCTCCAAAGACCACCACCCGGTAGTCATTGCTTTGCTCGGGCATTTTGAACGGAGGATGCTGACGCACCTGGAAGGGGATGAGACAAAAGGGAGAGAGAAAGAGACACGTCACAGGGTAGGAACGACGAGGGGCAGGAATGGAACGGGCAGAGCAGGGCGGGAGGGGACAGACTGGCTGTAGGGTTTGACCACCCAGTGCGGCAGACAGCTCATCTGTCATACCGGTTTCAACCATCAGTCCCTGCACTCCACCTCCCCATCTCCTCGGATCCTCCCACCAGCCCCCGGATCCTCCCACCAGCCCTGGGTCCCCTCACCCCGGATCCTCCCACCAGCCCTGGGTCCCACCGCCCTGCCATATGGTTTGCTCCATCTAGTCTGTGGTGTCACCCACCAGACCCCTAATTACTCCTCTCCTACGTGAATGCAAGATCCTAGTCTTTGTCCTTTCCCCTCCCAACCCCAGCTCCGTCTGGTCTTCTCCTGTTAGTTCTATTTCAACAGCATCCAGAAGCACCAACCATGATCAGGGGCCCCCTAGCGGGGGCTGCACAGGCTCCGAGTGACAGACAGGCCCCCAAATGCTCACAGTCCAAACGGCAAAGACTGGGTGGGAGAAAGGAAGGATCAGCATCCCCGTTTCACGGTCAATTCCCAGACCAGCCAATGTCTATAAGAAACAAGACCAGACCCCCAGCCCGGTGCCTGCCTTACTCCATCGCGCCATAGGGCCATCAGAACTGGTAGCCTCCCCCGACAGCGGCCAAAAAGTGCAGCCCCCAAGTGCAGGAGATGCACAGGTGGAATAAATCCCCCTCCCTGGGCTGTGCCGTAAGAGATGTAACCCCGCATCTAGCTCCACCCCTGGCGGGGGCATTTACAGGGCCCCTGTCTCCTTCGTACCAGCAACTCCCATTTGGACCCAGAGGTTTCCATTGCTGTTAAATCTCCCCACACTTAGCCCTTAGCTTCTATTCTTCCCCCTAGCCTTGCTGTGGGGCTGTTAAGCACTATGATCCCCATTGCAGAGATGGGGAAACCGAGGCCCGGAGCTTGCACCTGCCTTGCCCAGGGTCACACAGCAGGAGATGCTTGAGGGTGCTGTGCCCACGAGACCACATGACTTCTCATCGTCCCACACGCCCAAGCACAGATGCAGCCCCGGCTTTTCACTGGCAGGAGCAGCGGTTCAGAGCCCCTGAGGGGGCCCAGCGGCGAAGCCGGTGCTGACCCCAGCTCCCATTCTAAAGGGAGACGCCGGGCTCCCCAGATCTGCTCATCAAACCCACGCAGGCCAAGCGGGAGAGTCGGCCCCAAGGGGTGGTGAGAGCGAGACAGACAGGGACGCAGGGGTTACGCTCCGGTAGGGTGACCAGACAGCAAGTGGGAAAAATCGGGACAGCGAGGTGGGGGGTAATAGGCGCCTATGTAAGACAAAGCCCCAAATATCAGGACTGTCCCTATACAATCAGGACATCTAGTCACCTTACACTCCGGGCTCAAAGGCAGGCTCTGAAGAAAGGGCTGGGGACGGGGCTACGGAGACAGGCCAGTCGTCAATCTTCAAGCTGCAGCAGCTGAGGGCATGACTGTTACGTTCGCGCCCGAGGCCCCAGCTGGGATCAGGGCCCCATGGTGCCGGGTGCTGCGCAGATGTGGGGAGAGACTGTCCGCAGCACAAGGAGCCTACACTTGAAATAGACAAGAGAGGCAAAGGCAGGGCCACTGTACCCATTTCACAGATGAGAGGATAAGGTGCACAGAGTCAGTGACTGGGCCATGGCTCCATAAGGATCAGTGGCAGACCCAGGACTTGAACCTGGCCCAGCGCCCCCAACCCTAAGGCTGGCTGGCTGGCCAGCCTCCCTCTTGCACGAATCACTTGGATTTCCCTGGCCCCTGGCACGCCAATGGCATCACCTCACCCACCGCTGAACTGCAGCCACCTCTGGGGTGGAGTGCGGCAGCTGGCAAGCAGCAGTTGCACAGGGCAACCCAGACTGTGCTAGTCTTGGAGCTTGAGACTGAGGGAGAATGACCAGGTCGGCTGGCCGGGGTTTGGCAATCCTGGAACCGGCACTGCCTCCTCACAGGTCGCTGGTGCGGGGAAAGTGCTGGAGGAATCGGTTCTGCCGCCCCACACTGCAGCGGGAGGAGAATAAACCCCTGACTGCCAGCATGGGGCCCTCTCCTCATCCCGCCGCCTGGGCCCACGCTGCCGATGGGCCATGGAAGTGAAGGGGACTCCAGGCAGTGCGGCTCCCCGGCTGCACCAGGGAAGCTGGCAGAGGGTCGGCCTGGCCCTGCATGCTAATCAGCCTCCTTGGGCGTTCTCCAGCCAAGCGGAGGCGGTGAGGAACGGCGATCAGCCGGAACCTCCCCCGCTGCTGTCACGCGCCCCCAATGCTGCAGAAGGGAGCCCTGGGCTCGGGGAGACGCTGGCTGGGCGTGGGATGGGGCCAGGATTCCCTGGGTTTCATGCTGGAGGGACTGACTCCCGTGGGGTGACTCCTGCTTTGCAATGAGTGGGGGCTGGGGTACGTGCTGCTTGGTGGGGAGCCAGCGCTCCAATATCTCCCCCACCCCCTGGATGCAGCATATCAGGGGTCTCCTCCTCCTCCGGGAAACCTCCATCTGCTGCCATCCAACCTCCCCCACATGGGTCAGGCAGCCAGGAGCTCGCAGGACCCCCAGCTGGCAGGATATCGGAGTGTGGGTCCGGTTGGACGCTACCCTCTTGCTCCACAGAGCAAGCCTACAGCCCCGGAGCAGGCTCAGAAGGGGGAGGGAGGGGCATGGCTGTCAGCGCTGGTGCAGAGGGGCAGGAGAGCGGCAGAATGGGGGCTGGGGAAGGCTGAGACACCCGGGATTTCCTGAGGGCCGGCTACAGTGTGTGCATGGAGGGGGGAACCCCACGGAGGTTTCACTTCCCCATCCCAGGTCTCGGAACGGGTAACTGGTGGGTGTGCGCTGGAAGTGGTCCGGACACTTGAGTACACATCCCCTGGGGCCCGATCCTGACCCAGAGGCATAATCCCATGGAAGTGGATAGAGTTACTGACTTGAGTGAGAATTAGCCAGGTGAGTAGGGGGTGGCAAAATCAGGCTTCTGCATGTTGTTCTTTCGTTAACACTTAGGGGACCCAGCTGAGATCAGGGCCCCACTCTGCCAGGCGTGGCCCAGACACTGAGAGCCCGTCCCTGCCCCAGCTGAGATCAGGGCCCCCTTGTGCCGGGCGCGGCCCAGACACAGTGAGAGCCAGTCCCTGCCTCAAAGAGCTCACCGTCTAGACAAAGGAAGGGTCATTAACCCCATTTCACAGAAAGGAAACTGAGGCCCAGAAAGATTAAGGCCCACATTTTAGAAGGGATTAAGGTGCCTAAACACCTTTAAAAATCTGGGCAATCTCCTCGCAGCTAAACCACCCGTCCTCTCAAGGCCTCGGTACTCCTGTCATGCGCCCATCGGTCCCTGAGTCCACCCCACAGGAGTCCAGTTCCACTTCTCTTCCTTCCCCACGCGCCTCTGCTAACTCCCATCTCCCCTTTGACACTGACAACCCCTGGGCTGGAGGTCTGTGCCCACCCCAGAATGGATCCTGGCTGTGCCAGTGCTGGGCATAGAGGAGAGATGGCTCACGACCCGCAGGGGGTAACCACTTCTCCCCCCACCCTGTGGATTTTCTTTTTATCCACTCCAGCTCGGTTTCTCCCTAGCAACGGGCAATGGATCTAGAGGCCAGGTGGGGAAATTACTCGCAGCATCTGGCGATCTGGGTTTCCAAGCAGCCCTGCACTGCCAGGCAGCTCTGCAGTGGCACCGTGGGTCACGTCTGCACAGCAGCTGCTGTTTTAGCTATTTAAAAATAAAAAGGTGTGTGTGGGGGGGAGGGGGTCTGTACATCCAGAGGAGCGGGGAATCGGGGGGGGGGACACACATTCTTCTAAATTCCCTTCTCATCGCTAGCAAAGGGTCCGTTTTTTCCGCCTATTGGATGAAATTCACCCCTGTGCAAAGGGCCAGGCCAGCAGTCCTGACTTCCAGCCCCCTGCTTTAACCTACTAGCCCCCACTCCACACCCAGAGCTGGGGATAGAGCCCAGGAGCCTTGACTCCCAGTCCCCTCTCTCTGCAGCCCCCTTGCTGAGGGACGGCACTGCCCAAGAACCGCGCCGTCTGTTTGCCCTTGAAGAGTCCTTGTGGCATTGTCCCCATTGAGAAAGCCCCAGGCCCCTGCCCCAGAGCAGCCTGGGCCGGGGAACGTGCAGGAGGCAGTGCTGGGGCCTGCCTTGCTGCCTGGGGTGGACTTCCCAATAATAGATCAGCACTTTCTATTTTGATAAGATGCCACAGTGCAGCCATATGGCCAGTTCGCTGCTACCGGCACAGCATCTGTAGCAGGGTTGGCTGGAAGATCACAGTCTTTGAGGGGGCGGGGGCTGGCTGGCTGCTGCCCCCTTTTGCCTTGGGGGCCCCGGCTTGGAGCTGACTCAGTTCAGCGATGACAGAAAGCCAGTGGCGTCGCCGTCCAAGGTGAAAGGACCGAGTTTGGGGGCTCTCAGTCCAGTAGCAGGAGGACACTAAATTCACCAACACTAGCCAGCCGGGCTCTCGGCCGGCTTAGCAGACAAGCTGAGGATTGAGACGGCCACAGAGAGGCAGCTCCCCTCTCTGCCTACGGGGAAATCAGGGGCTGGGGTAGAGGACTGGGAGCCCCACACGTGCGCCACCCTTGACCTGCTTTGCTCTGTTGACATGGGGCGGAGGTAGCTGTGAAACTGTGGGGCCTTCGGCTCAGCAGCCATGTGGGGCTCCGTGCACAGTGCAGACCAATGAGACACCCCCCCCGTGCTCTCGCCAATGGAGACTTTTCATTTGTCCTTTCCTGCCTCCGTTTTCCTGAAGGTTATTTTAGACTCAGTATATGCATTCTGCCCTTCGCACAGGGAAACGGTACGAATTTACAAGTAAAGGGAAGGATTCTTTGTAACTAGCAGCGCCAAATGCAACCTGGGACATAAACATCCTACTCAGTTCTTCGGACTTATAGCAACACTGGGAACAAAG